AGGAAATAGTTATTCTAAAAGAAAGAGGTCAGACACAAACGCCACATGTGGAACCTGCCAGTGTATGAAATGTCCGTGCAGGCAAATCGCAGAGACAGGATGTAGCTCAGTGCTTGCCGGGGGCTCAGGGAGCAGCGTAGAGAGCTGACTGCTGGTGGATTTTCAGAGTTGTGGAATTCGTGGTGTTGGTTACACAACTGTTTTTACACACACACACACACACACACACACACACACACACACACAGTTGTGGAATTCGTGGTGTTGGTTACACAACTGTTTTTACACACACACACACACACACACACACACACACACACCTACCTCTCCAAAGCTGTTAATTTAAGAAGATCAAATGGCCAAAGTCATCGCCAGTAGATGGAGGCAGGGTGTTGTAATCTCTGAGGCTCTCAATGCCAACTTAGCCTAATTCGTCTGGAAAGCAGAGGCTAAGACATGGTGAGTTTCAGACTTTTCTCCTTGTCCTTCGCATGTATTGAGAACTGTACTTACCAGGAACTTCGTTAGCTACACCTCCCAGATGCCAGTCCTTTGTTTCCCTGGGCAGAGTCCCCGTGACCGCAGTCAGTGGAGAGAGCTTGCAGCGGGAGTGGGGGCTGCAGGTGAGCCGCCCAGGAGCTGGTGTGGGCAGGAGGACTTCAAGGTGGCGGTTCTGTGTAGAGAGGGTCTCAGCGGGTGATCAGCAGGCCGGCTGAACTATCAAGGTCTTCAGGGGCCCTAATATTCTGGATGGGCAGCTGGTGCTCAACTCCAACCAATGTCATGCCCGCACACGGTGCAGCCTCCAGAAACAAGAAAGCCTCTTCCTCCTACAGCGGCCTGTCAGCAGACTCTAATGAGAAACCTACTGTGCTGCTTAGGTATAGGAGACGTGAATGATGCTATTGCTGATCAAAAACTGAAGGGTGAACTTGGGGCTGAGAGGCAGTACGTTGATTGGCTCACGCCCTGTAATTGTCCTATGTAGCGCATCCTCATACAAGATGATACTATGTTTTATTTTCTTTCAGCTGCAGTTACTTCAAATAAATCAAGGAGAAAATAATCTTTTATAGTTAGCCAGACAGTTATCATTTTTGATGCCCGTCATTTTTCCTGAAGATTTAAATTTCTCACTAGTATCATTTTCACTGAGCATAAAAAATATTTCTTTTAGCATTTCTTAAGCTATGACTCTGTTGGTTACATATTTTCTTAATTCTACTTTTTATCTGAAAATACATATTTCACCTGCATTCTTGAAGGATTTGTACGGATATAGAATGCTGGTTGGCATTTCTTTTTCTTTCAGGCCTCCAGTCCCACCCACCCACCACAGCTTCTGATGGGAAGTCCACAGTAGCTGGAATTATGTTCCGTGTATACAAGGGGTCATTAGCTACTTTTAAGTTTGTCTCTGTCTGATTTGCGGGAGTATGGCTCTGATGTAGGCATTTTTCTCATTTTTTTGCTTGGCGTTCAGTGAGATTCTTGAATGTGTACATTTAAGTCTTTTCACCAAATTCAAGAAGTTCTCAGCCATTATTTCTTCAGACATTTTCTGCCTATTCTCCTCTGTTTCTCCTGAATTCAAGTTACTCTCATGATAGACCTTCTGTATTGTCCCCCACGTCCCTGAGATTCCGCTCATAACTCGGATTGCATAAATTCTGTTAACCTATATGTGAGTGTGTAGACTTCCCCTCAGTCACCTTCATTCTGCTCCCAAGCTCATCCACCTTGAATGTTTTTATTTCATGTACTCTTACATCTCTACGTGGTTTTTTACTAGTTTCTCTCTCCGAGGGTAGCCTGTGTCCTTTCGGTCAGTACTGGCATTAAGCACAGTTCCAGTGTCTGTTTTAAAGTCCCTCTGTGTAAACCACACCATGGAGTCAGAGTAGCTGCCACTTCTGGCCTCACTGAAGCACCACGGAGGTGACGTGGCCACACTGTGAGTCTCAGAGCTGCAGTGCTCCTGTCCTCAGGAGACTCCTGGCTCAGGGGCACCTCCGCTGCTGTCCCCGGGCCTGGCTACATCGCTGCAAACTGTGTTGTCATTCAGAAGGGACGCCCTCAACCTGCCTTCCACCCCAGGTAATTCTGTGCCTTACAAAAGACTTTCTCACTGGGGCAAGCTGCACGCATCATGCAGTGTACTGACTGGTCAGCTCCAGGCCCTGCACCCTACTGGCAGGAGGTCTGAGTGGCAGTTTCTTATTTCCCAACCTGGACCAGCTGGAGAACTTCATGTACTCCTCTGGGCCCTTCTCAAAATTTACAGCTCTGTGATTTACTCAGTATATGCACTGAAGTGGCAAAAAGGTGGGTGTATGTTGCCTCAGATATCCACAAAGGCCCATCAAGTGTTCTATCTTTTTATTAGTGATAAGAAATACACACTAAAGCAACTTGGTTTTCACTTAGGGAGTGGTATTCAGACATGCTTCAGACCTGGAAACTCCCCAGGTGTGTCAGACACTGGAATTTTGGGTTTTTCAAGAACACACTTACTTCTCCAGGGCCTTCAGAACATCAGCCATATCAGCATATCATCGACACCGTGCAGCAGCAGGGTGTCCTGTGGGCGGCATAGTGGCCCAGTCCCAGCAGCGTGACTTAGCCTTAAATGGGACAGAAGCATGTTGTCTCCAGATGAATGCACGCTGCTCCTCCATTTCATCCTGTTTGGACAGTAAAAACACTCCCAGCTCCAACCTGCTCCCCAGGTGTCGGGGCGGCGCTGACCAGGCTGGGGCACTGGGACTGGGCAGTTAGATGCACCAGCTGACTCACCCCTGGCCTCCCCATCAGCCTCCCTCCAAGCCCAGTGTATTTGCAAAAGCACAGGCCCATTACCACAGAAGGCAGGAAAGGCCACTTCCGTGAGAACATTCACAGAATTCTCAGCCACCTCCATGGGTCTGGGCTTAGTCTTTGCTCTCAGGTGAACCTCAGCTGTGCTGGGGAGACAGTCCTAGTTCATAGCTAAACTATGGAAAAGCCCTTTATGGCCAACTTTTCTTCTCAGCAGTGTTCTCCAGTGGGACCATATTAACTCGAGAAAATAGACTTAATTCTAGTATTTAACTTTCCAAGGGCAGTGAATTACACTTATACAATTTTCATATTTTCACCCTGTATATTAGAACATGTGACACTGAGCACTTCCTAAGGGCCTGGTAGTGTGCTGAACCTCCCGCAAGGTGGGAGCTGTCACAATGACTGTTTTGCAGGTGTGGAAACCAAAACATAAAAGGTTAAGTAAGCTGTTAACACTAGTTAATAGTACTAGTTAATAGGCAGCAGAGCTGGTGTTGGCTCAGGCAGTGCCGGGCTCCAGAGCCGCAAACCCAAACCCTGCCCTTCATCCCCACTGAGTCAATTAAATTCTAAGGGAATCTTCATCATTTCATTCCCACTCTGAAGCCCTTTTATTTTACTATGAATCTTTCCTTCACTTTAAGCTGTTCCCTAGAGTCTTAAATATTGAGAAAGGAGTAGGTGAATGGCTGAAGCAGCAGAGAGCATGCTGAGCTCAGGTGAGAGCACTCTTTCTGTCAGGTGCAGGCTCGGATGTTGTATAAAGGCTGAAACGTGTCAGTTACAGAGGGTCTGAGTCCTAGCCAGTTAGGTCACCAGGAAATAACAACAATAAGTAACTATGCTTCTTATGGTAATAAATTCACGTGATGTTACTGTCAAGTTGCTGTGGGGCAGTTGGGATTCCTCTGGCCAGGATCCTCACCTGATGATGTAACTGGCCTGTTGCTGGGCTGTGCTTCCACGCCTTTAGGCAATAAGCTATTGCACTATATAGAGAGCTCGGCCCAGCGCTCCGGGCGGAGGCAGAGACGCTAGTGCTCCACCTACCGCCGGAGAACAAGCCGGGTAATAAACCCTTTCACCCCAAGAACGTTTTGCTGTTTATTCTTTGGTCACACTGAATCCATAGCGAACTTGTCCGGGGCTGAAACCCATTGGCAAGACAGTTGATAGTTGATTTAGAGCACCATTATTAAGAGCTAGTTTTACCTGTCCAGATTTATCATAGAAGTTTCTTTTGAACTCTGTAATCCATTCACTTTCTTATTGTCACTGATTAACTTCTTTCTAAAGTATATTATTAAAATATCAATCTGAGAAATATCTATGTTAAATGTTTATCCTCAAGGACACAGGTTATATTTCCTAGTTTCATATGGCATTATTTATTTAGAACTGCCACTTAACTATTTCATAGTTAAAAGGAATGTCCCCACAATGTGATTTTAAGTTCATGTAGAACAAGGTACGTGTTGTTTCTGTGTTCTGAGATACCCCTTGAAGCCTCTGTTCTCCCAGATACATTAAAGGATAGATTTAATTAAAGTCCAGCTGTGGGTTATATACACCTTAATGTGATCAATAATCAAGTGGCTTTTCTCCTAATAACTCTATAGAATATAATTTGTTGTCTGCCACTGTCCTTCTAAACTTCTTTCACGGTGAGTATTTTTGCTGCCTCCAGATGAAAATTCCGAGTTCTCCTTTTTTTCTCCTCACCCTAAAACACCTCTGTTTTGACTTGTGGAGACTAGAGAAGTCCCTCCCTGTCCCTGTCCAGCATGCAAGTGAGACTCGTAATGCACCATACCTCTCCCTAAAGACACGGTCAGACTTCTTCCTCTCACCCTTTTTATATGTCTTTATCTATGTATCAACATATCTATATCTCTGTGTCTGGTGTATTGCTTTTTCCATTCTATATGTAGTCTATCATCTAAATGATCCCATTATCTTTTGATACTTCAGCTAAAACTTCCATTCAGCACATTAGACATTTCAAAATATTAACTGCTATGGGAAACTTCACGCCTTACGTTATTGTTATACTTTTTGTCTCTTTTGTAGTTTTGCTCAGGCTGACCCAGAATTGTGTGGACACAGCACGGAGCCCAAGCACATCTTAGAAAGTGCCCAGGTGCTTTGGGAGGAGAACTCACTCAGTGTACCTTCAGTTTCAGGTGCAGTCTTACGTCTCGCAGAGTCTGGTCACCCTGGGAAGTTGCCGCTTGTTGAGAAAATCTGTGATCTCTCTGCTTCTGTCGGAAGTAAACAGGTTCGCGGAGGACCTGGGTCCCGTCAGTCAGGTACAGAGAACCTGGACCTGTGGCCCGGTCACAGCCGGCGCCTCCCTAAGCCCTCCCCCCCACCCCTGCCCTGCCCCACCAGGCTCCACGGAGCCGTCGCCTCACTGCTCGTGGGTGTGAATACTACTGCTCCCTGTTGAAATTCAGAAAGATGTGTTCAGAAAATAGTTCTCAAAGTGTTGCCATCGCATCATCTCCACTGTGTATATGGGCAAAGGTTCCTCTGGTGGCAGCGGGGGGTGCTCGGCTGAAGGGACTTCAGTCTCCCCAGGCAGCCCCGTGTCCCTAAGGCGAAGCAGTGCGGGCGGAGTGAGGGGCAGGGATGCTGACAGGAGATCGGCCTCTAGCCAGGGCGTCTTCCACCTGATTGTTCACGAGAACCATCTGGCTCACTTTGAAGTGCCCCAGTGCCAAGCCGCGTGGAGGCCTCGGGGCTGAGAGGTAGGCCTCAGTGCTGAACTCCTCGGGCGGCTCAGGGCACAGCCTGCTGGGAACCAGTGTCCGGGGCCTTTACCCTGTCACTCCATCCATGGCCGACAAATGTGTCTAGAGAACAGAAGTCCTTCCCACACTTGAACGTTGACACAGGTTATGTGTTCGCCCTGTCAGCTCATTTAATAGTCCCCCTGCCTCTGTGGCGGAATTAAGTGCAATGAATAGAAATCAGAGACAGGTAGGAATGTGTTGGTAAAGAAGGAAAAAACTAATAGTAGATAATGAATTCATGTCAGTTGTAATATATCCCGCATATACAATCAACTGTGGACCAGACTTTCGAGAAAGTTGGTTTGTGTCATCTCATCCTTTCATCTTTGTGAGTAGCTGTGTTTATTTGGGTGCAGTTTTTTGGTTCTTGAAAGAACTGTTTGTATGATACTGAGATAAACTTCCCTAATATCTTGACAAATTATCGTGTGTATTCCCGTTTGGGGTCTTACCTTTGTTAATTGATTAAAATTAAGAGTTAGTATCTGTCATCCTTTCTGGAGTGACAGAACGTTCGCATCATGATTACTGCATATTTGCCATCTTGTGATGTAACCACCTTGGTTTTCCATTTATTTTGAAAATAACTGAAGAAGTGGCTCCTGCGGGAGTCCACAGACTGTGGACATAATGATTTTCTATGTCCTGCAATGTTTGGCTGTTCAACACTGAGAACAAATTCAAGACATTGATTTTAGTTTCTCAATCATGATGCCCATAGGACCTTGTGGTGGAAAACTTTTAACTCCTTCTTGAACAGCTTTCTCCCGCCTTGCAGATGGAATTCAGGCAGCTGCCATCTAGGATAAGCCAGTCAGTGAACTAATAGTTACAGAGCAGAGTGAATATTTCTACAAAAACAGCAGGCCCATCTTTAGTAAGTTTTCTGTCAATAAGAATTTTATCAATAAGTTTACAGATTTCTCTGGGTATATAGACAGTGTGTGATTTTCATAGAACCAGCTTTCTGATGAGGCATTACTAAAATTTTATCCTACTGAGAGCTGATTTATCAGTGTATTTCATCTTCACACTCTAACGGACACAGAAAGGTGACATGGACAAAGAGGCGTGAACATCCACTTGTAGTGGATATGCCTGTCCTGTGCTGAGAGTCACACGAAGAACCCCGGCTCCAGTCTGGACCCCTACCAACAGTGGCCTTGAGCTGCAGACACACAGGCAGGTGGCTAAGACAGCACTTTATGAAGAACTGAAACCAATAGGAAGACGGTCTCCATGGTGTAAAGTGACACCAGACAGGCAGAGAGAGTCCAGACACAGGCAGAGAGCTGGCAGACAGCAAAAAGCTCTGTGGAGGCCCCGGCTTTGCCCAGGCGGAATAGCCGCCCACACTTGGGAACAGACGCAAGGCTGGGCTGTCAGACGGGCCTGTGACTCAGAGAGCTCCTGCTGTCTGTCAGCGTCACTGACAGCTTTAGCCGCGGGCAGTCCAAGGGCATAGATGCAGCAGGGAGAGCCATGGCCATCCTGTGGGGTTCCCGGGTCCCTGCTTTGGGACCCGTCTCTGTCCGCAAATAACAGATGAGGCCCCCACCTGAGATTTCGTGGGTTTCTCACACAGAGGGAGTGTGACTTTGCTAAACATCTCCATTTCATAACCCAGAGAATTTTACAGCTTATGAAGCCTCTTGAAGGAGCCATGCCTCAGAGATAGAGTCTGTTTAGGATAAATAATTCTTCAGCAAGGGACTTTCTCCTGAGGGTATCCAGTGATAAAATTTCCTCCCACCAGCAAACACTAATTGAGAGGAGATAGGTGTAGCCATCAGCCTCCTTCTCTTTCTCCTCGGAATGTCCCCAGAAAGTACCCCCCACTTTGTCTTCTTCCTCCCGGCTTGCCCTCAAGTCTGGATGCCTCCTGGAGGGTGGTCTGTGGACCAGTCAGCTGAGAAAGGACATTGCTTTATAAAAGTGTGTTTCATTGTGGATGTGCTAAGTAGGTCTATGGTAGTTCTCTCAAAACAAATCTGTGTAACTTATAATAAAACAAGGTGAATACCAAGATTATATGATGAACACCCTGTGACATCAGTACCAGGCGTGGGCAAGTATGTGGGGAGATGGAACTCTACACTGAGCAGACGTGAAGAAGTCGGCCCCTAAGGCAGGGCAGGGAGGCTGCGTGTGGGGGACCCGCTTCTGGGAATAGCAGTGTCCATCGCTAAAACATGGCTGGATGCGGTAGATCAAAAATGAATGTTCTGTAACAGTTGAAATAAAGAAATTAGGTCATGTATTAACAGTGCTACATTCTGAAGGCATAATGCTGAGTTATAAGGAAGAATGAAGTATTCAAGGGGAGAAATACCTAAATATACTGAATTTGAAAATTATATATACAAAACTGTTTTTATACACACACACACACACACACATGAGACACTCTCCCAGTACTTCCAGAGTTTCAGAATGGCTTTTAAAAATACAGAATCTGAAATAAATAAGAGAAAATATTAGTGAGTGTTAGGAATATACAGTGTGTATACTCAAGAGCTATATGCGTTTTGCATTGTGAAATATTTTTATGTTGAAAATGTTTGTGTTTTCATCTAAGTCACACCACAAATTAGGTGTGAGCCCCTTAGAACCAGTCCCTAGGCTCCCCTGTGGGAGGATGACCATGCCATTACCTGTGGAGGGCAAGAGGGGTCACTACTACTGGACCCTTTTTATCCCCTTTTCCCTGGCACTTTGATCAAAGCTGACTCTCCCAAGGAAAGAAGCGTCTGCATGACAGAAGAGTGCAGGTGAGGCAGCAGGTGCTGATGGGGAGGCTGCAGCAAGTTACCCAGAAGACCCAGCTGAGATCATTCAGGAAGGTGGCTGCACTGAACAACAGATTTTCAGTGTAGACCAAACAGCCTTCTATTGGGAGGTGCCATCTAGGGCTTTCATAGCTGGAAAGGAGAAGTCTGCCTGGCTTCAGAGCTTCACAGGACAGGCTGACCCTCCTGTTAGAGGCTCATGCAGCTGGGGACTTTAAGTTGAAGCCAATGCCCCTTGACCATCCCCCAAATCCCAGGGCCCTTAACAGTTGTCCTAAATCTGCTCTGCCTGTGCTCTCTCTGTCAGTGGAACAACACAGCCTGGATGACGGCACATCTGTTTACAACAGGGTTTACTGAATATCTTACGCCCACTGTTGAGCCCTACTGCTCAGAAAAAAAGATTCCTTTCAGAATGACTACTCACTGACAATGACCTGGTCACGAAGAGCCCTGATGGGGAGGGACAGTGAGATGAATGTCATTTTCACGCCTGCTGACACGATCCATTCTGCAGCCCATGGACCAGGGAGTCATGTCAACTTCCAAGTCTCATTCTTTAAGAAATACATTTTGTAAAGGCTACAGCTGCCACAGACAGTGATCCTCTGATGGATCTGGGCAAAGCTAATTGAAAACCTGGAAAGGATTCGCTATTCTAGATGCCGTTAAGAACAGTCATGATTCGTGGGATACCAACGTTAACAGGAGTCTGGAAGAGGTTGACTCCAGCCCTCCTGTGTGGCTTTGAGGGCTTCCGGACGTCAGTGGAGGGAGTCCCTGCAGACGCGGCGGAAACAGCAAGAGAACTAGAGTTAGAAGCGGAGCCTGAGGGTGGGACCGAATCGCTGCATCTCATCATCAAATTAACAGGCGAGGGGCTGCTCCTTACGGACGAGCAAAGAAAGTGGCTTCTCGAGACGGAATCTGCCCCTGGTGAAGGTGCTGGGAAGTGCTGAAATGCAAAAGGAGTTAGATTATTACATAAACTCAGCCAACAAAGCAGCAGCAGGTTTGAGAGGATTGACTCCAATTTTCAAAGTTCTACTGTGGCTAAAATGCTGTCAAGCAGCATCACCCGGTACAGAGAAATCACCTGCGAGAGGAAGAGCCATTCGAGGCAGCAAATTTCACTGTTGTCTTGTTTGTAGAAATTGTCCGTCACCCCACCCTTGGCAGCCCCCACCCTGATTAGTCGGCAGCCGTCCACACTGAGGGGAGACCCTCCCCCAGCAGAAACGTTATGACCTGAAAGCTCGGGGGATGGTGAGCATATTTATCAATAAAGTATTTTTAATGGATTGTCCATTGTGTTTTTAGATATAATTCACACTCAGACTACAGCATAGTATAAGTGTACAGTTTATATGCACTGGGAAGAGAAAAACTCAAGTGATGACTTACTGTGACATTCCCTTTATTGAGGTCTAGAACCGAACCTGCAGATCTCCGAGGTGAGCCTGCACAGTGGGGACAGAGTCTCTTCAATTCATGGTGTGGGAAAGTGGACAGCGTCCCGGCAGGGAGTGAAACTGGAACACCCTCTGACATCACACACCCAAATTAACTCAAAGTGGATTAAAGATCGGCATGTAAGTCCAGAAACGGTAGAACTCCCAGAAGAAAGCACGGGCGGGAGTGCCGTGACACTGCCCTTGACAACTGTTTTCTTGGGTTTACCACCAAAGCAAATGCACCAGAAGCAAAAGTAGACAAGCAGGACAACATTGAACTAAAAAGCTTCTGCACAGTGAAGGACACCATCAGCAAAATGAGAGGGCAGCCTACTGAATGGGAGAAGATATCAGCAAATCATATACCTAGTATCCAGAATCTGTAAAGAGCTTACTAAAGTCAATAGCAAAAAAACCCACAATTGAATTAAAAAACAGGTGGAGGTCTGTCCAGGGCCACCCCACCCTTAGCAACCCCAGACAGACATTTTTCCAAAGACACAGATGACCAACAGGCACATGACAAGATGCTCCACATCGCTAGTCATCAGGGGATGCAAATCAAAACCACAATGAGATGTCACCTCACACCATTAGAATGCTCACCATCCAAAAGACAAGAAATAACTTGGTGAGGATGTGGAGAAAAGGGAGCCACTGTTGGTGGGGACGTAAATTGGTGCAGCCACTGTGGAAAACTATGGCGTTACCAAAAAAATTAAAAAAAGAAATATCTTATGACCCAGTAGTTCCAATTCTGGGTATTTATCCAAGAGAACAAAACACTAATTCAAAAAGATACATGCACCCCATGTTCATTGCAGCATTTTTTGAAAGCCACGATGTGGAGACTTACATGTCTTCTGGTGGACGAATGGATAAAGAAAATATGATATATATGTACAAGGGACTATTAGCCAGAAAAGAGAATAAAATCCCACCACTTGTGACAAAATGGATAGTCATGGATGGACAGCATTGAGGGCAATTATGGTAAGAAACAAAATAGAAAAATATGTAGTATGATCTCACTTACATGTAGAGTCTTTAAAAAAAAACTAGCCAATTGTTATAGAGAACATATTGGTGGTTTCCTGAGGTGGGGGGTAGGAGGGTGTGTGAAATGGGTGAGGGGTCAGAAGGTACAAATTTTCAGCTATAAAATGAGTAAGTCATGGGGTATAATGTACAGCACAGCAACTATAGTTTACAGTACTGTTTTGCATATTTGAAAGTAGCTGTAGGAGGGTGGTTCTTGAACGTTCCCACCACAAGAAAAAAATCTTTGTCACTATGTGTGGTGACAGATGTGGACTGGACTCACTTGGTTATCATTTAGCAATATAAATGAAATCAAGTCATCACACTGTGCTGAAACTAATATGATGCTATGTGACTTGTACTTCAAGAAAAATAAGAAAGTATCAGTTATTTGCATGTATTTGCTTCTTATTTCCTTGGTGTGAAACGGAATCTTGGCTTTGGGGGTGTTTGGTATACTTTGAGAATACTGTTTATTGGACCACTTTGTGGGGAGACTTTAATCTCTTCATGTGTGTATTACAGCAGAGAGACTGGGTGAGTGTTTCCAACACATTTCTTAATAAGCAAGTGATAGATCCAGTTTCTGTCTTTATGCTGATCTCTGTACCCCTTGTGTTGTGCTTCCCACTGTCCACTGTTCAGGTGACGCCTCTGGGCCAAGTAACTTACACGAGGCACCCACATTTAACTTGTGACCATGTAACCGATTGCACACAACCCGGCCCTGCTTCCCCGGACCTGTGCAGACTCAGGGTGAGGTCGCATCTGGTCACTTACACATCACACCCCTAAACTGATCTGGCACTGAGCTGTACCCTGAGACGGTCCCTAAAATCCCACCCACAAAGATCCCTACATTGTCATCAGCGCCGAGGTCTTTGGTGGGTGGCGGAATCAACATGCAGGACGTGGTGTGTGCGACACTCCCTGCCAAGTGCCCTGCGACCCTCCAAGTCACAGGTCAGAGCAGTTGTGCCAGGAAAGGATTCGGGACTTGTCAGCCAAAGCCATTCGCCAATAGTCTGAAATTCCTAAAAAGGGGAAAAATCCTCCTTTGCTCTCCCCCCCCGCCCCCCCGCAATTCCAGTCAAAGGAGCAGGAAGAGGGAAGGCATCATAAGCAAGCGACATACTTCTTTTCAGTCTGAGATTTTAGTCTCTTTCTTTGGCTTTTTCTGAGCTGAACTACAGCCAGTGTTTTTGAAAAGGAGTTTCTTGTCTATCTGCAGGTGCAAGCCGGTTATGATGTGACGCGCTATGAAAATATTTTCTCCCTGTTCTGGATTCTGGAGCAGCTTCTTCAGAAGGAATCCGAGGAGGGCGACCCTTCAGGCATCGGGCGCGACGACCAGGAGGCCCAGGCGTTTCTGCGGAAGCACGATGAAACTGTCCTCCAACTTTCTGATGCATTTCCTTTATTTACTCTTTACGTGTGGAGACTGGGCGTTCTCCTGAACTCAATAGAGAGAAAAACTGTCGAAAATAACCCACTTCCTTAGCAATTTGTCAAATGTCAAAAGCATATTAAAGGTCAATATATGAAGATCTTAAAAGATTTTCAAGAATGATTTTAAGTGAATGAGCATTTTAAATAGATCTCTAAATATAATCATTATCTCAGTTTAATAGTTTTAAATTGTGTCTCCAGAAGACCGTGGGTCGCAGGGCCACAGTGTCAGCTGGCAGTGCCCTCCTGGTTCCCAGGCAACTATCTTACACTCTTCACTCAATATAATCTAACTCTGCTGTTCTCTAAAATGGGCCATTAGTTGTATATCTCATAAAACATACTTACATTTAAAAAATTTCATGCAAGGGATACTAAAAGGTAACAAGATCTTAAAAGCTCTCGCTCATCAACACAGTATTTAAGTAGTTATAAATGAGACTTTTAAAGCTTTTTTGTCTTTTAGGTGGTTTCACCTCTGTCATAGTGTGCCACCTTAGAGGGGCTCCTGCGGAAGGAGAAAAGTCTTCAACAGTCGTGAACCAGTGGCCTTTAACTCCATACAAGGAACATATTTGTCCAGTTCCTTTGAAAGTGCTGATTAAAGTGTTTGTTTTTCAACAAATGTTTGTTTTGATTGTGTTGATTATATACAATATTCTTGGTATTGTTAAAATGTTTTAAGTCATGTGTAAGTGTTTAAGGATATTTTACAAACTCTAACATCTGTCCAGAAATACACTTTATACTTAATAAAAGTCTTGGTTGAAGTTTCCAGTTACCTGGTTTCATTCACTTTATTTCAGTTAAAATCATAACCAGCTAGCTCAGTGAGCACACATGCTGTACTTCCCTATAATGGTGTAATTTAAAGCATGATACAAATTTGCTTCATTACATGTGACTGTTTCAGAAATTAATTACCATTCCTAAGCACCACTGGTATTTAAAGACAATGAAATAGTATCATTTGCCAGTTATTTGTGGAATAATTACTAGCTTTCTAAAACGATAAAGCCTTTTTTAGAGTACTGAAATTCAGTGTACACATCCGGCAGCTATTGTCACACGACGAACAGCCACAGCCCCAGTGGCCCACGGTGGCACGCAGGCCCCTCTCATGTCTGTGAGCGCCTGGGACACGCGCTTGGGAGCCGCCCGGCTGGGACGAGGGCTCCGCCCCGTCTGCGGGTGCCCCGGGGCCAGGCTCCGTGTGTCCGGGCTGTGCTGCTGCGGGCGCCCCTTCTGGGACCCGGGTGGAGGGGAAGCAGCTCTGCCGTGGCGGTGGGAGGAGCTGGGCCGGGAAGCGACCCCTCGCATCTGCCCGTGTGTGTCGGCCGAGCGCCCCGAGGGGGCAGGTCCAGGGAGCTCCCCGCGGGCCCGAGTGGGAGAACTTGGAAAGCTGTGCAGCAGAGGCCGCGGGGTCAGGAGCGGGCGGACCCTGGGGCAGATAATGTGCTGCCCACACGTACCGGTCGAACACCAAGACGCTGCCGATCCCCCACGCGGAGGACGTTCTCCAGTGGCTTCCTGGGACTCGGGTAAGTCACTTCCACTGATGACGCCAGGCCCAGTCCCCGACGGGCGCCGGCGACGGCCCCTCCCCGCTGCGGTCGGCGACTCGCCTTCCTAGGGAGCCTTTCCCGGGGCGACCGCAGGCGCAGTGCTCAAGGCCCCGAGGAATGAAAATGTGCCTGTGAAATGTGTTCACCACAGAAGAACAGAGGTGCTGGCATCATGGTTACTGTACGAAATGGAAATACGGTTTCTTTGCACTTGGTATTGCTTTTAGGTACAGACGTGACTTCGGTTACATGGCACCCCGCTCCCCACCCACCGTCTGGTGTTTCCGTCTGTAGCCGCACTGACTGTGCAGGGAGCTTAGTTTTGAGGACAAAGTCTCCTGTTGGCAAAGAAGATGAAATGCGGCATCTGTATCTGTGTTTCAGTGAAGGGGTGAAAGGGAATGAATGAATGAATAAGTGAATAATTTAAGCTAGAATTAACAATACTTAAGAATATTGTAGAATTAAGGTTTGATTGATGTCTAGCGTTACAATTAAGATTTGGGGAATAAAAATAATGGAGACAGCAAAAACAAGCAGTGCGACGGGGGCAGAGGCTGACCCAGCGGGCGCGGGAGGTACAGGCGCCGCCACCTGCCGCGGACCCACAGCCTCGGGCCCGGGCGTCCTGGAGGGACTGCGCCGCCTGCGCCCAGCGCACTTCCCGTGCCGGCCTCCTGCCCGCGGCCTGGTCGCCTCCCGGCGGGTCCGGAGCTGCCCCGCCGCCCTCGGGGGGTGGGCATCAGTCCCCCGCGCCTGATTCCCTTTCCTGAGCATCTTCGCCCATTACTCACCGACGGTGAGTAACTCAGATCAAACAACAGGACCACAGGAGACTCCTCCTGAAATAAGCTGACTGTCCTGATGAAAACCCTCACAACATGCAACGTCCACGTACAACACAGCTTTTACGTGGAACACATTCCACTCCCAGTTCTCCCCATGCGTGAGGTTTTGTGTCCCAAGTCATCAGTGATGCACGGGGTCTCCCGCCCGGACGGCCCCCAGCGGCGCAGCCTCCACCCGGTGCCCAGAGCGCGGCCCCGCGGGAGCTGCACGACTACCAGCGAAGGGCGCCCCGGGCTCCTTCCCCTTTAGTATCTGGAAGAAACTGCCGTTTAGGGAAAAGATGGCCTGGAGAAAGTTACGTGCATTGCTCGGGGTGGAAAGGACGGAGGATTTTCGTGTTGGGCTCATGAAATTCTGACTGTTGAATAAATGAATGGTGGGATTTCACGTATTGTCTCCTATGAGGTGCCTTTAGGGGCAAGAAAGGGGGACCAGGCAGCCAGCACAGCCCAGGGCTGGTTGTTCGGGGCTCCCCTCTCCGTGCCAGCCCACGAGAATGAGGAAGGGGGTCACGGAAGTGGGGAGGTCACCTGGGCGTGGAAATGAGGGGTCAGCCTTTCGCTTCACTTCCACCATCACTGTCACCCGCAGCTGTCAGACCTTCAGTCACTCCCAGAACAGAGGGGCCCTTTTTGTTCGTGGGCACTTCTGCTGACAGTACAAAGGGAAATTCACAAGAAATGTTCATGTAAATTCGAAGGGATTATATGGAAAATATTTTTTTCTGTGTTTTCTTCTCAAAATGGGGCAATAGAAGCTTAGCAGTAACCGAAGAGTGAAAGCAGAATTTATTAACGGGCTGAAGGGCTGTCATCAGGTGAGGCTGCTACTCAGAGGGAATATGGAAAATCCATTCGAATGTCAAAATGCGTATACTGTCGAGTCAGTGTTTACACGGATGGTATTCTTCCCAATAGGCAATTATCTATCAGGAACCAGATCTGACCCCTGCTACCAGAAGATTCAATGTGATTTAAGTTTCACTAACTCAATTTTTGCAGACAAAATGACTGGTGTACTAGCGATTCTGAGGGTAATTGAGTGGGAAGAGAAAATACAAAGGCATTTAGTACATGATGTAGAAAAGATTAAAACTCTGAAATGCTAGAAAATAATTTTTTTTCAATTTAATAAGGCAAGAAGTGATATAGTGATGAATACAGAGGTCTGCTTCCCTGAAAGATGTTCTTTTTGATGGAGTAAACATTTTAAACATTCCTAGATATAACTGGCCCTCGTCCATCCCCCTACAGCATCATATACCTGCCAAATGTTGGCTTATAAATGTCAGCGTGACACCTGATTTATAATTAAGATGATTTAATTCTCAGTGACTACAAAGAAACAAAGATCATTACAAAATGAGCTTCCCAAACCACAAAATGGCCTACAGATAAGTCTTTCTACATTCATTTACTACCGAACTTTTCAAGCCAAATATAGATTTTTTTTAAACACCATTGAAGAAAGTCTTTCTGTTCTTTTTCTTTTCTTTTTTTTAATTTTAAATCCTGAAAACTAAAGACTGACAAATATTTATAGCAAACATAAATGAGTATCCTGATTATCCTATGGTGTAACAATTGTAACTTCTAACTCTGTGACCAAAAGAAACCATTGTAGATGTGCAAAAGGGGACATACATTAATTCAAGAATGTTTGTACCATTAGTGTTTATAATAAACAGCAAAATTCCAAGTAGTCATAAATTAGAAAGTGGGTGAACAAACTGGGTTATCTTCAATGGATTATTATCCATCAGTTAAACAAAAGAACTGTACTAGTATGGATGAAAATATGAATCCATCTCAAAGATTACATATAACATGAAACCATTTTTTACAGAATTAAAAAGAATTAAAAAGAATTTTTATGAATATATATAGATGTGATAAACTATGTAAATATTAATATAGTAATTAATGAAATAGGATTCAGAATGATGTTAACCTCAAATCAAGTTCACAGAAAGCAAGGGAATGGATCAGCCAAGATAAATGATACGCTTGTATGTAAGTTCTTGTCAAAGACTTCCTAGGTTTTTAAATTCGTAAATGGTTATTAAACTATAAAATATAACTAATGAGATAAAAGAAGGAAGGAAGGCTACAAATGGACCCACAATGAAAGTGGGTCACAGCCCCAGGGTCATGATTAATCCAGTTCTGTTCATTTTGCTGAAAAAGAAACAAAAACAATGATAGCAGTGCTAAAGCACAGAATCCCTGAATACATCGGGTTTCTTCTGTGCAAGATATCAAGATATTGGACTTAGTTCTTTATATTTTCCAAGTTGAAAAGAAAAAAAAGAAATCTAACTGTACATTATAGTGTCTATTTAATCAGGCATTTAATGAACAGTTTCAAATTTTGTATGAAGCACCTTAGGTTGAGCCTGCTTTGCACCGAGACCGATTAAGATCTCTTGATCACTCAGACTCAGAAATACGCAGCTCGCAGACTGGCCACAGTTCAGGCCGGTATCTGACCTATGAACTGGCGAATCACTCCGACTCCGTATTACCCTGAGTTATTAGGCAAAGGATTAATCTGGGCACGCAAAGAGGTAAAACTAAGTTCCATCAGAATCTCAAGTGGGAACGAGCTGGGCATAAATACACCCTTCAGTTAATATGAA